GCACAATTTTCTGTAGCACAAATCAGCACATTTTTTCTATAAAGTGCCAGATAGTAAATATTTTAGGTATTCTGGATGATACAGTCTTTGTCGCAACTATTCAACTCTGCCATTTTTGTTCAAAAGCTACCATAGACAATGCATAAATTAACCAGTGTGATAGTATTCTAATATAACATTATTTTAAAAACTAGCCCAGTTTCTGAAACAATTAAACACAGAATTACTATATGATCCAGTAATCTCACTTCTGGGTATATACCCAAAAGAATTGAAAACAAGAACTCCAAGAGATATTTATATACCCATGTTTATAGCAGCATTATTCACAATAAGCAAAAGGTGGAAACAAGCCAAATATCCATTGATAAATGAATACATAAACAAAGTGTGATATATCTATACAATGTAATATTATTTAGTTTTAAAAAGGAATGAAATTTTGACACATTCTACAACATGGATGAAGCTTGAAGACATTATATTCAGTGAAATAAGTCAAAAACAAGAGGAAAAACATTGTGTGACCCCACTGACATGAGGTACCTAGAGTAGTCAAATTCATCAAGAAAGTAGAATGGTAGTTGCCAGGGTAGAGTGGAGAATTGTTTAATACATATGGAGATTCAGTTTGGGAAGACAAAAATTCTGGAAATGGATTGTGCTGATAGTTGTACAACAATGTGACTGCATTTGAAAGTAGAATGGTAGTTGCCAGGGTAGAGTGGAGAATTGTTTAATACATATGGAGATTCAGTTTGGGAAGGCAAAAATTCTGGAAATGGATTGTGCTGATAGTTGTACAACAATGTGACTGCATTTAGTGTTACTGAATTGTACACTTAAAAATAGTAAATTTTATATTTTGTGTATTTTACCACAATAAAACAAGCCCATGGGCCTAAATTGACAATCCCCACCTATAATCATATTAATGAAATACAACTACTCTTGGTGCAGTTAATATTGGCTAAGATGTTGGAATAATTGCATACAACTGTGAGTACAAATGCCTTTTATATTATGAATCACATTACTTTGTACACTTGTTTACACAACTCCCCGTTCTCCCTCTCACTACTCTCTCAGACACTATACACACATACACAGACAGACACATTGTGAACTCTTTGAGAATGTTGACATCTTTATTACTTGACCCATTGTTTGGCAGTATATACTCAGTAAATCTAATTAGTAAGTGAATGGGCATATTCGTCCTCATTTTCATTTTAGCAACCACTTTTCATCTCTACCACACCACTACACAGTTTTCTATCCCACACATCACATGTAAAAACAAGAAAGAATAAATTAGTTTAAGAAAAGTCTTTGCATAAAAGCTTTCAGGTTTAAATATAGAAGTAAAAGGAGATGAGGTTGAATGATAATCACACTGAGGAAAAAAAATTGTATGAGATAAAATTAGTTTTAGATTGATTTAAAGATGAGTAGTTCTCCAAGTACAATTAAAAGAAAGAACAGACATAGATAAGTAAGGATGATAAAACAAAGAGTTGACAAATTAAGTGAATGTGATTCTCATCAAGTGTATCTTGAAAGCTCTGGGACTATCCTTGGCTCAGCACATTCTGCAACCTGACTTAGTTTTGCCACCTGCTCTATATATCTTTCTGTCCTCAAGAAATTTGAATAGCATACCATATGTTTTGGGCACTAAGTAATTATGGAACTTGACCTAAATCCCCTGCTAAAAGAGAAGCCATCTTAATCAGTTAAGTGTCCAATTAGTAAGCGACTTCTATTCTCTTGGGCTTCATGGAGCTCTTAAAACCCTTAGCCTCCTCAGTTTTCCATTTAAATGAGGGTCAGAATCAGTGATTATTTTCTTCTCTTCATCCCCCACAACACTTTTTTTGAGTCACATACAATCACTAAAGTTTGTCTGCATGTTCCTTCAAGACCTGGGCAATGTATTTCATTTCTGCATCCTCAAAACCCAATGTGGTGTCTGAAAGATGTCAAATGTGACTATTTTCCCTCACTTCCCTCACTCTTCATCAGTAATTAATCTGTCAAGATATTATTATAAATCATGCTCTATTTATTAGGCATGTGCTAGGCACTGTATTATCATCAGGAAATAAAGGCATTGTCACCTTGTTTTACTCATCTACTCATTTTTTTATTCAACAACTGATAATTAACTTCTTATTCTGTCCTACTAACTCTAGCAACTAGCAGCACATACTGCTTCTGCCTTCTTGGAGTTTAGAGCTTAGTAGGGGAGACACACTTTAAGGCACTAGTTGCACACATGAATGTATATTTACAAGTTTCAATAATTGCCATTATTGAAAATTAGAAGGAGCTATGATAAATTTTAACAAGACCTACTGTGGTCTAAGGGATGATAAAAGATATCACTGAAGGGCAATATTTAAGCAGGGACCTGCAACTGAAGGAGAGGGTGTGAGGGAATAACAGAAGCAAAGTGTTGAGACTTTGGGAAGAGCTTGGAATGTTCAAAGACCTGAAAGAAAGTCCATGTGTGGCAAGAGTTAGTGTGTATATGTCTTTGTAGAGTACAAGAGGGATTATAGATTTTATCCAAATGCAGTGGAAAGCCATTAAAGATTTTAAGTAGGGCAGTGGACAGCATTCTTTTTTTTCCTGAAGATAATGGATTATAGGGGTAACTCCACAGAAATAGAGTGACCACTTAGGACACCAATGGAATAGACCAGGTAAGGCCTAGCTTGATATGACAATAGAAGTAGAAATATATACACATGTTTTTTTGGTAATCCTGGAACAATGCCATGTACGTGTGGAAGAATTACCAGCAATTTGTGATGTATATTAAATAGTATAGTGGAAAGAGAAGGAAGTGTCAAAGATGACCTTTGATCATAGAACAGAAAAGGAGGAGCTGATTAGGAGATGGAGGCATTTTCAAACTGTTAAATTTGAACTTGAGATACTTATGGAACATCCACATGGAACATGGACACAATATCTATGATTAATATAAGAGTGTGGGGGGTCATAGAAATGCTACCTAAAAGTGTGAATGGATTCAATAACCTAAGTAGACAGAAGAGAAGATGGATCAAGGACAAAGAAAATGAATAGCCATTGTATTAGGAAGAAAACCAGAAGATGGAATTTCACAGAAAAGCCAGTGGATAATAATGGCCCACTGTATAAACTTAAAACAGCAGTGATGTTGCTCATAAAAATGTTTAGGAACTATTGGAAGTGGGTGACTATATATTGATTGTACTGCAATGCCCTCTCAATTTCCTAATGTGTTTAATGTTATAATCATGTCCTAAGTTGCAATATAGGGGAGTTACAACTATGTACTTAGAAAAATGTTTTGTGTCAGAGGAAGCAAGAATATAAGAAATTCCTCTTGACCTATATGGATGGAAATATAATAATCAGAAGAAAATAAAACCAGTTAAATTAGGCAAGTAAAGCTTAATAGAAACAAGAGAATATGTTGCTTACTAAAGGTAGTAAAAAGCAATTTACAACAATATTAGCTCAAAAGAGAGTGAGAAAATGCCCCATTTACCATTGTTATTGTATTTATAAATTACACATAAAACAAATATACTTATTTTTAATAGGGATAATAGGTTATAGGGGAAGAGAAAGTGGAATTTAAATAATAACATTTAAATGTTAAAAACACTACTTCCAATACTCCCACTTAGATATAGACAAAAAACACTCTATAATATATACTCAAAGCTCTTGTAAATTCTCCAGCTAAATGGTTCTATATAACTGTGAAATACTATAATTATTATTATTGTTATCAGAAAAATAAATACATGTTTTCTAAGAACAAGGTGTGGAGCTTAATTCATATTTCTAGGAAAATGCTTGGGTACTGAATAGTTCAAAACACTTTTGATATCGAAAAGTGAGACACTATATACAGAATAGTTTATGAAGAGAACTGAGGAATATTGGCATTGCTCCAGGATTATGAGCTTTAAAAAGAGGTTACTCATGTATGGCTAGGTGATAGCAGTCTTGCCAGCACCTCTGAACATAGGACCCTATCAGGATATCCTGGCTCCTATTCTAAAATATTTGGGTCTCTGAGTGTTTGATCCATGAACCAAGACAAGAACAAAAAGAAACAAAAGTTTTGTTTAAAGTAGCCTTCAGTTTTTTGTGGAATATTAACAGGACAAAGTAATATTTTTAGCTTTTCCAGTAATTAGTCAGTCACAGTTAAGAGCTCAGCATTGGGATTAGATTGTCCTGATCTGCAATCTTAGCTCTACCCGTCCCTGAATATGGGGATTTTTGCAAGTTTCCTTTGTTCTCTCATTAGTAAAATGGGAGATAATAAAGGTATGAATTTGACCCTCACTGTAGGGGCTCTGAGATTCTTTTTAGTATATGCCGGTCTCTTCCTTAAGCATCTTTCCTCTCTAGTTATTTCAAGATTCTTTGAGATAATGAACAGCAGCTCATATTCACCAAAAATATGGAGAAACTTCATTCAAATGAACTTTTTAGTGGGATATTTGATAAACTGATGATATTACTTATATGCTTTAAAAATAAGTAGATAGAGAAGTAATGCACTATATAGCTCTATTATATAGCTCTATTAAATTGAATTGGATTTTTATTGCAATTCTGACTAAGAAACTGAAATCAAATTGATGATAACAAAATGTATTTTCAACTATTGTATCAACTTTAAAGACTATTACTCAGTAACAGTATTTGTAAATTTTAAATATACATACACTTTAATATCTGTAATTTCTGTAGTATGTGGCCATGAGAATGATTGGAAATTTTCCTGTGTAAAATTTAAAATAAAGTAAACAAAATACTTTCCAGATAATAATCAACCCTTTATTTCACAAATATATTTTACTACATATAAGAGATATGTGTGGTTTTTTAAAAAACTATTTTTAAAACAATACTTTCCAAGTACATTTTCTAGCCTATTGCGTTGGTCCCTATACATAAGAATTCTGCTGTTGTCTTATAATTTTAGCAGTGATTAGCATGTGCACATATTTTACGTGTCATCCTTGTGCAGGGGCCATGCTAATCTTCTCTATATCGTTCCAATTTTAGTATATGTGCTGCCCAAGCAAGCACAGCATGTGCACATATTTTAGAGTGAAACCTCTATCTTTTCCTTCATTATTATTTTCATGTTTAAATTCCAGTCAGACAACTCCAGAATAATGATGTTATAATTACTCATTCATAATGAAAGTCACACTAAACTATTCTTGATAATTAATTTGGCATAGTGCAATGCATTGAGCAGTTTAATAATTAATTATGTGGTTACTCAGATTTTATTGAGAAACCAGGAATGTGCAGTTATTGGTATTATATTTGTAATGAGCTGCTCTTTACTTACTTTCTGCTCTTATATTTTTGGAACAATGCCACAATTAATTAGTATACTAATATAAATAGACTATAAAGTGGGCATCTGGGTGCTTGTTTGTCTAGATGTGTAGCAAGTGATATTTCAACTATAATTTGAGTTGGTAATTGTTGCCAAATAAAACTTTAATTTCTTTATTTTTAAATATATATTATGTTGATTTCAAAGAGGAAGAGAGAGGAAGAGAGAGATAGAAACATCAATGTTGAGGGAGAATCATTGATTGGCTGCCTCCTGCACAACCCCACTAGGGATTGAGCTTTTAACCCAGGCATGTGCCCTGACCAGGAATCGAACTGTGACCTTTTGGTTCATAGGTCAATGCTCAACCACTGGGCCATGCTGGCTGGGCTAAAGCTTTAATTTCTTTTTTTACATTATATTTACTTTTATTGGTTTCAGAGAGGAAGGGAGCGGAAGAGAGAGATAGACACATCAATGATGAGAAAGAATCATTGATTGGCTGCCTCCTGCACACCCCACATTAGGGATCAAGCCTGCAACTCCATCATGTACCCTGACTGGGAATCGAACCGTGACCTCCTGGTTCATAGGCTGATGCCTAACCATTTAGACATGCCAGTTGGGCTAAAGCTTTAATTTCTAATTCCAGATATTAACATAGATCAGTGGACAATTCAATAAAAGAATATTATAATATTAATTATAAGATTAAATAGTTTATTCTGGGGCAAAATAAAAATGTGAAAAGTTTCCTCTGGATTAAACTTTTATATTATTCCTGAAAAAAAAGATTAAATAGTTTAAAACACTCTATGACTTAAAATTTATTTAACAAAAGCTGTAATATTATTTTCACTAATCTTAATAGTACATACACTTTTGTGAATCATCTCTACCACAAATATAAGAAAATTTTAAGGAAAACATTCTCTTTAAATATCAATTATTAAAATTCACATAGATTATGCCTGGGTATGAGCATTTGCAGGGAAGCAATAAAGGACCTGAAGGTTTGGGATTCTTCTATGCAGATAATAATATCCTTCTTTTACTATTCCTTATAGGATAATTGTTTCATCATCCTTGCCACAATCACTTCTGAAATGAAATAGTTAAAATATTTAGTATGGATTCTTTCTTGTCATAAAACCCACAAATCATTGTAGTGATGATTATGGAAATGGAAGATGAGAAAATCCTTGTCCTTTAATTAACATTTTCCTGTTTGCAGACTTGGCTATTTTCTCCTTCTCTCTTTGACATTCATACTTAAAATCTGCCAGAACTGATCATTCATGGACTCATCCTTCTTTCAGCAAATATTATTGTGGCCCCACCATGATTCTGCTACTGTGTTTAATGGCTAGAAATGGAAAACTGAATAAAATGTGGACAAACACTATAGAGAAGGAAGAAGAATGATCAACTCACAGTTTGAATGCAGAGTGATAAGTTCTTAGAGTGGAGTCTGCATTGTAAGCTTTGAGCATACAATGGGGAGATCAACTAACCCAGGCTGGGGGCCACAGTCAGGAACGAACTGAATGAGGCAGTCCTTGAACTGATTTCTGAAAAATGAGGAGGGGTTAATCAGATAACAGAAAGGTTAGGAAAGAAGCACATGTTAAGGACAAAGCATGGCCCAATTTATCCCATTATTTCATTGACTTCATATTGAGACCAAGTCATAAAATTGACCCTAAGATTTTTCACATCCCCAGCATCCACTATCATAATCTAACCCAATAATTACTAAATGAAGTATTTAATGAATACATTTTGCAATCTTTGTTACTACTCTAGATTGTATTTTCAAAGAGCAATTTCACCAAAATGCTAAAGTATTTCCAGTTGAAATAATATGATATTATAATTTTTTTCTTTGATGAATTGCCCAAAAAAAATTTAGAAAAAGGAGCAAGGGAAGAAGATGGAACAATATTGGCAAGATATTGATAATTGTTAAAGGTAGGTGGCAGATGGGGTTTGTCATCTTGTTCTCTTTACTTTTACATACCTTTGAAAAATGTAGTTATATAAAGTAAAATTTTTAAATGAAAAAGGACAAAACTACAGAACCTAACAGTTTTTCTTTGCCAGCAGTTTTTAACTTGGTTCAACATTTGAATTTAAATTAGCTGACAGGATCTATGGAAAATAAATCAAATACTCTGATTTAGTTGATATAGTGTGGAGCCTGGAGATATCTGTATTGTGTGTGAGTGTGTGTGTGTGTGTGTGTGTGTGTGTGTGTGTGTGTGTTGGACTAAACTTTAAATGGATAAAAGACTTAAATGTAAGTTGTGAAACCATAAAAATCCTAGAAGAAAACATAGGCAGCAAAATCTCAGACATCTCTTATAGCAATATGTTTTCTGATACATCTCCTAGGGCAAAGGAAACAAAGGAGTAAGTGAACAAATGGGACTACAACAAAATAAAAAGCTTCTGCACAGCAAAAAGAAAACATCAACAAAATGCAAAGGGAGGCAACTGTATGGGAGGACATATTTGCCAATGATGCATCTGATAAAGGGTTAATTTCCAAAATATATAAGGGATTCATACAACTTAACAAAAGGAAGACAAACAATCCAATTAAAAACTGGGCAAAGAACCCAAATAAACACTTCTCCAAAGTGGACATACAGACAAGAGACATTTGAAAAAATGCTCAAAGTCACTGATCATCCCAGAGATGAAAATTAAAATGACAATGAGGTATCACCTCACACCTGTCATAAGGGCTACCATCAATAAATCAACAAATGACAAGTGTTGGTGAGGACATGGAGAAAAGGGAACCTTAGTACACTGATGGTGGGAATGCAGACTGGTGCAGCATGGAAAACAGTATGGAGTTTCCTCAAAAAATTAAAAATGGAATTTCCATTTGACCTCGTGGTCCCACTTCTAGCAATATATCCTAAGAAACCTGAAACACCAATCAGAAAGAATATATGCACCCCTATGTTCATAGCAGCACAATTTACAATTGCTAAAATTTGGAAAAAGCCCAAGTGCCCATCAGTAGATGCGTGGATATAAAAGCTGTGGTACATTTACACCATGGAATACTACACTATACAGAAGTAAAAAATAAGGATCTCTTACCCTTTGAGACAGCATGGAGGGATCTGGAGAGTATTATGCTAAGCGAAATAAGCCAGAGAAATACAAGTATCACATGATCTCACTCATATGTGGAATCTAATGAACAAAATAAGCTGTTCAACAAAACAGATCTAGAGGCATAGAAATAGGGAACAGAGGAAAGGTGGGGGGGGGGTGCATGGGTGGGAAGTAACCCATGAACACAGACAATAGGGTGGTGGAGGCCTGGGGAAGGGATAGGGGGCAGGTTAGAAGGAGTCAATGGTAAAAATGGGACATCTGTAATACTTTCAACAATAAAGATAAATTAAAAGAAAAAAAGAATTTTGATCATTAAAAAAAAAGTGCATGGAAATAGTTGTGTTCTGTGTCTGCAGTTCCAACACTTGTCACTAGGTGATGTTGTGAGCCATGACTTCAGGCTTGCCTTGGAGAGCAGTGACAGAACTTGTTCCCTCTTGTTATGATTTTCTATTAACACAGGACTCGTTTTCAAAAACCAAAATATTATATAAACGAATGCCTTCTCTGTGGTGTGCTGTAGATGGCTCATACTGGCTTGCTAGAACCAATTGTTAAATTTTCAGGAGTTTTTGGACCAGTTGTTAAACATAACTTACTAAAAAATTAAGTATATCAACATGCATTAAATTATATTGTAAACAAAGTTAATAGGTGCTTAAATCTCATCACTGCCTAAGTATTTTACTACATTTTATTATAATCTGTGGTCTTGATTTATTTATCTCTATTATATCTGAATGGTGGAATGACTATATTTAGTGATGTTATGTTGATAGCTTGAAATTACATATAATGAGAGTATTCAAATAGTCCCCCCTAAGGAAAACTTGTAGTTAGACATTTTTACCACACCACTGACTTTAATATTTTATGATTTTCCACTATCCATAAGATCTTGCGCCAGTAAATATACACATATGTTTTAATACTTGCTTTATTTACCAGTTTGTAGTAGAATTATATGAAACCAGCTTCTGGACTAATTGTCTTTAATTGGCATTTAACTAAGCTAATCCTTGTCAGAGTATCATCCATGTAAACATTTTGGGGGTTATTTTCATATTCACTACAAACAGATAGAAACATTTTGTGAATTTTTGTTGTTGTTAGCTCCTCGCAGGAATATATTTCCATTGATTTTTAGAGAGAGTGGAAGAGAGAGGGAAATACACAGAAAGAGAAACATCTATATGAGGAGAGACATAGCGATTGGTTGCCTCCTGCACAGGTTAGGACCAGGGCTGGAGATCGAGCCTGTACCCGAGTTACATGCCATTGACTGGAAGGAAACCTGTGACTCTTCAGTCCAAGGGCCAGCACTGTACCCACTGAGCAAACTGGCTAGGGTCATTTTGTGGATTTTTCACTATTTTCAACCTGACCTCAAAATCATATGATTCCATCTTATGTGTATTTCTTTGGTTAACTAAGGTCTTAATTAGCTAGCTTTCATAACATATCCTTTTCTAGCTAAGTTCAACCATTTAAAATTCCTATTGTTGTCAAGGAATAGTTTCAAAACTGTTTGTGACAAACTGGAAGACAGGTTTAGAGACCAAATCATTTGTGACAGATTAGCATAAACAAAAATTGAAAA